ACTACAGGAAATGTTGAAGGGTCTTCTTTAAGAAGAAGCTAATGAACAAAAGAATCTGACAAACTAAATAGATCCAGAGACACTGACACATGCAAACAGGCAATCATATTTCCGAGGGAAGAGGGAAGGGGGGTGGAGGGTGGGAAGAGATTAACCAAAGAAGTTATATGCATATAAGCATAACCCATGGGCACAGATAATATACGGGGTGAAGACCTGGGGAGAGGGTGGGAGCGAGGTGGAGGGGGTCAGTTGGGGGGAAAAATGGGACACCTGTAATTCTTTCAACAATGAAGATTATATATATATGAAAAAAGAAAATAATTTTTTAAGAAAGAAAACCTTATTCCCAAAATCCAGGAGTAATTGAATACTATGAAATCACCTAAATAAGTCATCAAATTAATAGAGGTAAGGAGAAAAAATATCATATAATCATTTCCATAAATGCAGAAAAAGTTTCAGGTAAAATTCAATACACGTTTATTGTATTTTTTTTTCACTCAAATGTGTATTGAGCCTCTGTTCTATTGTAGTGCTGGGGGTGCAGGAGTGAAAAAGATACTGGCACTGTCTCTACCCACATTCCAGTGGAGGGAAGGCAGCAGTGAATAAGTAGGGGATGCGCCAGACTGTTTATTTTTAAAACACTTATTTTAAAACATGCATGGATTTTATTAGTATAATAAACATACCTTGGACCAAAAGCCAGCATTTTACTTAATAGGCAAATGCTAAAGGTTTTTTTCTTAAAGTTAGAAACAAGGCCAGGATGCCCACTGTCCACAATATTTAACATTAAATTGAGGGGTTTGCTAAAGCAATAACATAAGAGAAAGCAACTAGAGACATAGGAAATGGAAAGAATAAAAAATCATTGCTATTTACAGATTATATAAATGGAAACCCCAAGATAATCAATGGAAAAACTGTAACAAACAAGATATTTAGTCAAGTGGCTGGTTATAAAATTAATACATAAAAATCAATTGCCATCATATATACAAACAAAAATGAGTTAGCAGATATAATGGAAGAGAAAGTCCAGTTATGATAACAAAAAAGAAATGTTCAAAATACTTACAGGAAAATGATAAAATACTTTTAAAGAAATAAAAGTAGACGTGAACCAATTATTTAAAATACCACGTTGTTAGATAAGAAGGTACAACATTATACCACTGCTAGCTTTCTCTAAGTTAATTTATAAATTTTATGCAGTTGCAATAAAACTTCCATAAAGTTTTTTTCTAGAGCCATAAAAGTTGATTAGTATCTGTGGAACAGGAAAAGTTAATAGTTATTTTGTGGAGCAGGGAGCTGAGGAGCAGCGTGGGAGGAGCTGGGTTTGCTTTATGCGTATTGTGCTTCGTGGCTGTCATATCTCATTACACTTAGCACTGCCCATGCTTCCTCCTCTGAGCCCCACGGTGTGAGTGTCCCTTCAGGAACAGGCATTAGGGAAGCTCATTTGGTTCATTGTGCTGTGCTGATGGGCGGCTGGCCTATAACACGTATCTTCCGCTGGCCTCCGCTTGGGCTTTTGACACATCACAGAGTCTAGCAGTCAGAGAGTGCAGATTGGGGAGAACTGACTTTTCAGAGCTTCCTCAGCTTTCTCCCTGATGTTGCTCCCTCTCCTGACCCCAAAAGGACGCTAGACAAGAATGCTAAGGTATGAGAGAGAATGTGATTTGCTTAAAAAGTGCTGAATGTTCTTTGTGGTCCTGACGGTGGAGAGCTGGGCCAAGTTCGGTGCTTTATCTTCTCTTCTTTGGTTGCTAGCATGGATTTTCAGTTTACTGATCTTAAGCCCCTCTCTTCCTGATGCACCCTCCATCCGTTATTCCTGTCTGAAGGCCTTCCCACTCTTCAGTACTGTTTTCAAATGTTTCTTTTAAAAACCCCTTTCCAGCTGAATGTGAATATAGTGGAATTTATCAAGGAAAAAAATCACCCTTTTATTTTTTAGCAATTTATGTTTGTTCTGTGGCCTCTGGTGCAACTGCAAATATCTTCAATGCAGGAACTCTGTGTGTTTTACCTGTGTAACTTCTAAAACACTTTGCTATTGCCCTGTACATAGCAGGAAGATGAGATTGAATTAAGAAAATCCAAGGGCTTAATTTAGTCAGTGGCATGGACTGGCTATCCACATTGTCCCTTAGATCCTACCCTTTGGAAATTACTGAGTTGAGCATAATCAATCGCAGATCGTGCCAGTGACCTACACAAGCAATAGTGGTCTTCATCGTGGCACCACTAATTGGAACCTGCTGCTGGTGAGATAACTCTGGCCCTTGTCTGAGTTATCCCAGGCCCCACCTGCACTCCCCTGGCCTTTGCCACACTGTAGTNCGCCCTGCCCTGGCCTTCACCACACTTTGTCTGTCCATGGGCTATGTATATATGTTCTTTGGCTAATCTCTTCACCTTNTGCACTCCCCTGGCCTTTGCCACACTGTAGTCTGTCCATGGGCTATGTATATATGTTCTTTGGCTAATCTCTTCACCTTCTATTTCCAGTGCCTCCCCAATGCCCTCCCTTCTGACATCTGTCAGTCTGTTCCATGTGTCCATGCCTCTGGTTCTATTTTGTTTGTCAGTTTATTTTGCTCTTTAGATTCCCCTCCAGGCCTTTCCAGCACCTGCAGTCTGGGTGGAGGGAGGGGCATCGACCTGGAACAAGTTTTCCACTTGGTACCAGCCCAGGTTCCACATAAAGAAGACCATGGGAGTTGGCTTGGCTTATTTACAACTGCATGAATAGCAATACTTTTCCCTAAGTCCCCCAAGCAGCAAGTTGCTTACATTTTCACATGTGAGTGTGTTGAGCGTTTAAGACCTAGCATTGCTGAATGTCATGTTTTTATGATATTGTTCACCTTTCTGTGAATAAATGGCTGCTAAAAAGTGAGATGTTTGCAAGTAACTGTACACATGAATTATTCTTCAAAAACACAAAGCCTTTCTTTTCTTGCAGGAATCCAGAAACTTTGAAGTCACAAGAAGAGAAGGTAAGAAAAACGCATTCGTACCCATTTCATTCTCAGTGTTGATGTCTTGGAAGCAGTCTGTTGAAGCTGAGATGAACTTCAGACTGTGGAAAACCTGTTCTTTGAAATTTCATGTGGCCTTTTCTGGGTGCTGACTATTTGGCACTTGGCTTCTAGGGACTGCAAGAACTGAAGGCCAGGTTTGCTTGTGAAAACTATGTCTCTACCTTCAAGTATCAGAGGTGGGGTCTGGGGAACTGGCTCATTCATGATCATGTTTACAGTCTCTTGCAAGAAGCCTTTTTTTTTTTTTTTTGAGTGAAGTTTGATTTAATTAGTTAGTTTCACCCAGCAAAAACAGCATCAACAATAAAAAATAGTTTATGGTTTGGGGTATTTTAATATTGGAAAAGATGCCACTGTGAAAAATACTTTTTATTAGATTTTTACAGCTTTAGCTAAGCTGAAATAGAAATATCCAATTAATTTTCCTTTTGAAAACAATTCTGTTTTCCCTGCCAGAGTTCCTTAGCACATTTGTTTTCTGGTCTCTGAGGTAAGTATATGGGTGATAATTTCTGAAATCTTTTAGTGGAAATTTAGGTTCCCCTTACTGACCTTCGGCAATACCTAGTCTCTAATGAAAGAATGTCTTTTGTGTGATTTATGGAATCATCGAGTCATCCCTTAATTGCAGGGATGGGAAGATGAAGTCAGAAACCAAAGTGAGTTCTTGGTCTAGAATCTGGCCTTTGATTTTATTATATTTTTATTGTTAACACTATTACAGATGTCCCCCTCTTCCCCCCACCTTTGCCCACCTCCACACAGCTGCCCTCCCCTGGCCTTCGCTACACTGTAGTCTGTCCATGGGCTACGTACATATGTTCTTTGGCTAATCTCTTCACCTTCTATTTCCAGTGCCCCCCCAATCCCCTCCCTTCTGACATCTGTCAATCTGTTCCATGTACCTGTGCCTCTAGACCTATTTCGTTCATTAGTTCATTTTGCTCATTGGATTCCACATATAAGTAAGATCATGTGATATTTGTCTTTCTCTGCCTGGTTTATTTCACTTAGCATAATAATCTCTAGGTCCATCCATGCTGTCAGAAAGGGTAAGAGTTCCTTCTTTTTTACCACTGCATATTATTCTATGGTGTAAATGTACCACAGCTTTTTTTATCCACTCATATACTGATGGACACTTGGGCTGTTTCCAAATATTGGCTATTGTAAATAACACTGATATGAACATAGGGGTGCATGTATTCTTTATGGTTGGTGTTTTGGGATTCTTAGTATATATTCCTATTAGTGGGGTCACTGGGTCAAAAGGCAGCTCCATTTTTAATTTCTTGAGAACCTTCCATACTGTTTCCACACTGGCTGCACCAGTCTGCATTCCCACCAGCGGTGTGCCAGGGTTCCCTTTTCTCCACACGCTCACCAGCACTTGTTGTGTATTGACTTATTAATAATAGCCATTCTGACAGGTGTGAGGTGCTATCTCATTGTAGTTTTAATTTGCATCTCTCTGATGATTAGTGGCCTTGAGCATTTTTTCATATGTCTAGCTTTTGGTTTTAGATTTAACCAACTCCTTCTCTGTGGCAATGTCTCCAAAAAGTGGCAATCTTTAAAAAGTGAGCAAATTCCATATTGACTCCTAAATGTAAAGCATTCTTGCCTCCTGTTTAGTTCTGATTTTATGCACCACAACAAAAGACAGAATGGCCATGTTATCAAAGTGTGTTTCTAAGGCTTGGAGACCTATACTTTCCATACTATCTATAGTGGTAGACTCATCCAACTGGTCATTTGCCACTCTCCATGATCCTGGAAAGTTGGCTTCAAAGGATGTAGATAATCTCACTCTAGGATGAATTTCTGGCTTCCATTCCCATTTGCTATTATCTCTGGTTTTGGACTCCATGTCCTCTGAATTGGATCCACAGGTTAAAACTGCACTGTTTGGGTCTCAAAACTAAATTAGATTGGATGAAGGTGGGTGGGGCAGGGAAGTCATGTTTCTTATTGAAAGTTATGTTCCCAAATGGGAGCGATGACCATGTAAATTGGAGAGAAATAGCCACAGGAAGAGAAGGTGATGTGAACTTCGGTTTTGAATACTGTTCTGTTCATGTCAATGTTCCTGAGTGTGAGTGTTTGGAATTAATTTGCATTATGGAATCACATTGTTTTGGAATGTTCCCATCCTTGTGTTAGAAATGTTTCTAAATAGTACAACTGGGGTATGAGAGAACTATGTATATTTTTCTCGAAGATATAAGAAGGTCTAGAACACCGAGGCTTTCCGAGGATGAGCAAATGCACGGCCAGGCTGTGCTCTGCTCACCCATAACCTCCCCTCTCTCGAAGCAGCGGCTTTCACAACTGGCTGACCAGCACTTACTTTGCGCTTGTACTGGCAAATTTGTCTTGACATCACATAAACGTTTTTCTTCCTGTTGTGCACTGATGTCTTTCTTGCTTGTTTCTGTCAAAGTTGAGTGTCTGAGAGTTCCTGAAATAGCCCAATGCCCTAATGTCAATGCTCATAACCTGGCAGGAAGGAAGAGTGGGACCTTGCAGGTTGCTTGCAAGTATTTCTGTGTCTGAGAATTCACGGGCTTGGGCAGCAGGGTTGTTCGTCTTCTCCAGAACAGTGCATGGGCATACAAACAGGAGAGGCCCTGTGAATATTTTAATAAATTATTATTCCTCCAAACACAAGGCACCATTGTCTACCCACAGATCCTTAAGGTTGGTGCCTTTGCTTTGATTTGACTTGAAACTGCAAGAAGAGCAAGTAAATAACAGTCTCAGTTTACCAGGCCTGGGAGATGTGGGAGAATCTGGAGAGGAATCCCCTGCACTACCTAAGATAATTTCATGTTTTTGTTTTGTGTTGCTTTACACCTGACTCAGGAGTGTCAGCTCCCTCCAGGGCTCAGTGCTGCAACTGGATGACCAGTTGCAACTTTACACTATATGACTTTTAGAAACTAAGTCTGTGAAGTCAGAGGGGATGATACGGTACTGGAAATGGAGTCCAGGCTAAATCATAGTGGGCCTGGAGATTGTTGGGGTGACATGAACGCACCATGTGCCTTAGACCTGTTCTCTGCCTTGTTTTCCCCATGTTCCTCCCGGCCTTGGGTCCAGTGTTATGGTTCCCGGACTGTAGCCCAGCTTGCGTACCTCTGGCCTAACTCACATTGTTCCTACAGCCTGCATGCCCCTTCTTGAGGCTTTTAGCTTACCTACCTTATCTGAGAGGTACAGGCTCCTATTAGGTTGCTCATTTCCTGAGAGCAGAGACCCTGTCCTCATTCACCCCCAGATCCCTCACAGCCCTAGCCTAGGGCCTGTAACTGCTCAGTAATTGTTTCTTGAGTTAAATGCAAGCTACAAATTGCTTTGTGTCCATCGTTTTTTAATGCTAACTTGCCCTAGTGATACACAAGTGAGGCACTGAGCGCTTTGGTTCTAGAAAGGTGCTTTTTAAAGAGTGTTCTGGGATATCCATTGGACATTCCTAACTGATGCATTGATGAAAGTGTCCCATGTTCAGATAGCTTGGTTTTTGGGTCGAATTGTATCCCCTGAAAAGATGTTGAAGTCCTAGCCCAGAACCTGTGGAGGTGACCTTGTTTGGAAATAGGATATTGGCAGATGTGTGACAGGTTAAGATGAGATCGTACTGGATTAGTATGGGATATAATCCAGTGAATGACTCCTGATCAGAAGGGGAAAATCTGGACACAGACATGTAGGGAGAACACCCTGTGATGATGGAGGCAGAGACTGGAGAGCAATGAGTCTATGCCAAGGAAGGCCAGGCATTGCTGGCAACCACCAGAAGCTAGGAAGAGGCAAGGAAGGATCCTCCCTGCAGCCTTCAGAGGGAGCATGGCTCTGCCAACACCTTGGTTTCTGACTTCCAGAACTGTGAGAAATTAACTTCTTTTGTTTTAAACCACCAGTCTGTGGAACTTTGTTACAGCAGCCCTAGGAAACTCGTACACTAGGCAAATGCCAGACGCAGTATTGAACTAGTTTTGTCACTGTTGTTGATGTTTTTACTGCAGAACCTCGCAGGTCTTTAAGATGTTAAGTATGACTCTCAACATGGGGTGTAATTGCAGCATTTCCCAAACTTAGCTTCCCAGGGCACCTCCATTTTGTTGTTTGTCATCATGTTGGGATGGGCATCCAATGCCCTTTGCAAGCCCTGCTGTAGAGAATTCAGTAAGAGGGAGCACTTGCTCAGTGCCCAGGATGGGATGCTCTGGCACCAGTGACTTCCAGGGCAGTGTAAGGACAGGATGGTAGGGTAGCAAAAATGATAATCACCTCTCAGTTGTTTTGAAGTTTTCAGAGACCTTCACGTTCTTTCCCTCTGTGACCCTCAGCAATCCATGACATGCACGGAGCAGGCAGAACCTTATACATGAGACTCCTCCCTTCCTATCCATCTGACTTTAGTAGGAGCAAGGGCTCCCTCGGATGCATTGATCCTCTCTCTAATGGAGTGGTGGCTTAAATGACTTGATCTTGCGCTATTGCATCCAAGGTCTTCTGTACCTACATGTCCGCTCCCAAGCTGATTGCTGAAAGGGACACTTGTAGAAAATTTCCTAGGGGAGCTTTGTTTCCAAGTGAGCTCTGTGGTAAGGATCCTCAGGGGAACCTGGAGGGGAGATACAGTATCAGAGATTGTGGCAGGAATGAAAGACTGGTAGGATGGGTTTTTGGGAAAGACACATGCCTTCCCAGCTGCACGAAGCCCTTCCACCTTCAGGCAGTCCTGTATTATTCTCTCGCCCGGGGACCCACCTGTGTGAGCCGCATGGGGAAGCAGAGCTGGCTGCTGTTTCATCTGTTCTTCAGTGCAGGTGTCTTACGCCTCCCTCCAGACACCTACAATTTAATTTCAACTTTTTCTGAAGCTTCAGCAAAAGGTGCCAGCCTCACCTCTCCAAGACACTCCTGAGTCCACGCGGAGGGCTGGTGCT